TGGATTTATGGATTTATGGATTGATGGATTGATGGATTGATGGATTGATGGATTGATGGATTGATGGATTGATGGATTGATTGATTGATTGATTGATTGATTGATTGATTGATTGACTGACTGACTGACTGACTGACGGATTGACGGATTTATTAATTGGGTGGTTGGTTGTTTGATTGCTTGATTGCTTCGTTTGCTGCATTGGTTTGTTGGCTCTTTTGGTTGGTTGAACGCTATAACACTTGAAATAGCATGATTTAAGTCAAGTTCCGGGCATGGCCCTCGTTGCCTCCATTTTCAGGTAGTGGGCCGAGCATCACGAACTACGCAGCCACTGGCCGATACAGGACGGCCAAAACAGACACACAGGCAGGAACTTGGTCTGACGACCGAAGCTGGAAACGAGAGTGCCGCGAATTGGAGCTTCTGCTGGAGCTGATGTGGAACAGGTTGACGCGCCCACATGACTGGCGAACTCGACGAAGCAGCTGTGGCAGCGGAGGCTCTTTTGCCCACTGCTCGGTGGATTGCTTCGACTTATGCCAGCGACGTGCCCAAAAAGGCGAGGAAAAGGCTCCGAGAAGCAGAGCTGAGTGCCCATCTCACAGAGGTAACGGGCACCAAGCTCATCGGCAAGCATGCTGCTTAGCATGAAAACGAATCAAGCGCAGCTGCGCACCCAACAGAAAGAATAAAAAGAAATACTAAGCTGCGTGCCGCAGGTACGAAACAGAACATGTGAAAAACTCCCAAACTGTCGTCGACGCTGCCTGCGTGTCCGCATAGCGATACAAAGGAGGACTGGCAACTCGCCACCGTTCGCTGCGAGCATCCACTTGCGCTAGTTCGACCCGCATTCCGTTTACAGTCGCCGACATTTTGGACGCTGTTGCACCGGATGCTGAGGGGCGCTGTGGCCGAGGGGAGAGCAGCGCGTCCATGGTGCAAACAAATCTCGTTGCGCTTAGGTATTCTTTCCGCCTCGCCATTCGTATCCCCTAGTCAAGCAGAATGGCTGCATTTGCGACATCCTTTCTCACACACCCTGAGTCGAAGGCTGGGCGGGAACCAAACATGAATCATGTGTGAGGATCAACATCCAGCCTCGACATCACAGTGACGTGGGCTTTCCCTGAAGGTAAACAAACGTTTTAAACATGTTTTTGCCAGCCAAACAAACTAAGAGCAGTTGCACATATGAGAGCGAAGCGAGCGCAAAATGGCTACGCGCAACAGGACCAGTTGCAAGAGCACCGCGCCAAACACGTGCAGTGTAAAAGCAAAATTTGATTGAGCCTTCCTGGCATCTCCTTCCGGGCGCTGCCCAGCGTAGGCTGCAAGTCGCTCGCTATGTTGCTGATAGAACGATCCAAGGATGGGAACCTTCCATTTGCTCTTGCTCCTCCGGGAGTTGCACAGCCGGTCACATGTTTTGGCCAAGACAACATGCACAAGTGACTCAACTGACAGTGTTTTGAATGCACGCTGCATTGCACATAAGCGCTGGTGTTCTTTCGACCGGTCGCTATCTTTTTTTTGAACAATGATGTGTGCAAAGAGCCGCATAGAAGAGCGTGAAAAATCGTCAGGAGAAACTGAGAGAAGAAGAGGCAGAACAAGACAGAAAGACAAAAACAAAGAGACAGAAAGACGACAACAAACAGAGACAACAACAAACATGTTGTGAAGGAATGAATTGGAAGCATAATTTGATGTTGGCCTGACCATTTGTTTCGGAAAAAAAAGAGAGGAAAAAGGCGACTCAAAAAAACAAACAGGGCACAAACACCCACAAATGGATGCAAACAAACGGCGCGTGTTCAAACCTCGCTTTGCGGGATCGTATCGGCACGAGCTGGTGACCGAACAGGGCCAGCAACATCATCTGCATGGCAAGCCAGTTGAGGGACGTCCGCACAAAACAACAGCCTGTAAACATAGGCACGGCTGTTTTCTAAACAAATCGGCTAACTTGTTTCCAACTCGGCCCTTGTTCGGCCCATACTTGTTTCCAACTCGGCAACGAGTGACGACGCAACGTTTTCGCAGGGATACGTCTTAACGTGCAGTTGGGCTGTGTGAGTGCGGACTTTGTACGCGCCCCCAACTTGAGGCTCAAAGTCGCAGGCCGCGTTCGCTCGATTCGGCACGATTTGCTTCAAACTGAATGCTTCACGAATGCACTGCCAGCGCAATCCCTTTGCGTTCGCTCGATTGGTTGGCAAAGCTTCACATGCCTCACGAATGCATACCAGTCAATGCTGAAACACCGCGACCTTTGGCTCTGGCACTGCGGCTTGAGAACTGAATGACTGCGCCCTCCCTCGTGGGTCGAAGCGGTGGCTGGGCGACTGGGGGCTGTGCATGAGTCGCTGAGACTCACGCGCTCAAACTGTTGGTTGGTTTTAAAGAAAACCGCAACAGCACAATCAACACATCTGTGCCTTGGTCACGCAATCGGCCCTGTTTGCCTGCCCAGCAGCGCAACCAGCAATGCAAAACATTTTCTCAAATCAACGCCACCGCTATGAACTTCGAATCAACCGTTTGAGCCACTTTCAACTTGGAAATGCGACCGAGCTAATTGGTACACGATCCGGGAACTCATGGCTGACTTTCCTGGCGACCCAAGAGCCACGAGGCTCAGTGAGCTGCCACTGACGCGGATGGCGTATGATGGCTCCCGGGAATGGGATTTCGGTGAGACGTTTTTCCTTTGCGTCGTGCTTGGCGGCCAATTTCAGCACGGAGACCTTCCTTGCTGGAATGGTCTACCCGCGCCGAGGTGCACGTTTTGCACAAAGTCGGCAGGAAGCGTTGTCCTCTTGCGACTCGCGGCGCTGTGCCAACGCCCCAGCGTCGCAAGCATCATTCTACCGTCTTAGGTTTCGCACAATCCGATTCGCATCGCTCACGATCGCATATCGTCTTCACTCCAGCGCTCTGCGCGCCTTTTGACCCCGCTGGATTTCAGACGAGCAAGCAACTGCCTTTGGACATCACCAGGTGAGTTGGGAGCTTGGCGGTGGTTTGACTTGGGGGTAGTTACTTCAAGGTTTTTAACGTGGCTTCATTTGTTTTCTATTCCAAAAGGACCTGGAAGCAGCTTCCTGGAAAGCCAAAATCCCGCGGCTTCATGCCCTGGTTCTATCACAACTCACCCAGAGATGTCGTGCTTGGCTACAGAAATTCATTGGCTGATCCTCTTTGGGACCCTCAAACCGTTCCGTCTGGCGACTTCAAGCCAGCGCGCTGCGCCATAGGTACCGTCCTTTTGGGCAAGATTCGGGTTTCCCTACAACTAGGTCCTCCTGATTTGAGAGGTCAGAAGAGAGTGCCGTCTCCTATTTTAGGGGAACCCTCCCAACCAAAGTGGGTAAAAGGGCACCTAGCTGGGACCTAAGAGGCCCTGGAACCAACCAGTCTCAAACCACTAAACACATCCATTTCTTTGCCCATCGCGTTCCAAGGGGTAACAGGCCAAAGAAAAGGAACAAGGGCATTGGAGACTGCAGGTTGGAAGATGTGCCTCGTGCCAGAAAAATATGAAGCATCCAGAGTCACGGCTCAGCTCACAGCTTGTCAAGTGAGATCCTGCACAGGTGACTCGTGACGTGCAAAGTCAGCTGATCATTCGCTAACTTGCCGAAACTTCTCGGTCCATGTGCATCCTTCCGATGCGCCTGGTGCGTCTCCCCATCCCCGCATCTCTGCCTTTGTATTATGTTTCTCTGAGTGTCTACATGTCGGTGCATGTCTGTGCGTCCGTGTCTGCGTCTCTGACTTATGTGCGTCTCTGTGTCCCTCTATACGTGTCTGTATGTATGTATGTTTGTTTGTTTGTTTGTTCGTTCATTCTCTTGTTTGCTTGCGTGAGTGATGTGGTTTGTGCATTGTGTCGCAATCCAAGGAACTCTCGCACGGTTACTCAAGCACAACGTCAAAGCCAGCTCGCAGCATATCACAACCATGCCAATAAGCCGCCATGTCAGCCTTCATTTAACATTGCCCATTTGGATCGCAGCAAAGGAAGCACATGCTCCAGCAAAACAAGTTGACGGTACACGCACAATGACGAAAGCTCAGAAGGTTGTGGACAATATCAGGAACGGCAACCATTCCATTCCAATCTGTGTCTGGCGACAAACGTATACATTTTGGTCATCTGTCTTGAAATTTCCTCGTTCTTGCACCCATACGAAAGAATCAGCCCTACAAACCATCCCCGATGGTTTCCTTCCTTCGGGAATCCCCGAAACGGCTCATTCCCTCGTTCCCCGGCTATCGCACCGGCAATGGTCATCCCCATGTCCTGAGGATTGCCCAGCTCATCCAAGCCCTTGAAAGGACTTTTGGCCAGCAGCATCAGCGTCTCTCGCAGGCCTGGGGAAAAAGGCGGAACACGTGGAACACTTCCAAACTTAACCTGGAAGTGCACCGACCCCTTTTGCAAGACTACTTTTGTGGAACGACTTGCTTTGTGCTCACTTCCATGTTAGTTGGGCTTTGTGTCACGCAATCCGACAAACGCTTTGTTTTTATGGGCGTGTTCCACGTGTTCCGCTTTTTTCCTAGGCCCCTCGGACGTGGTTCCCACGTCCCTCAATCTCGGGGGTGTACAAGAACATATTCCCGACCCAGTCAGGGTTTACAGCAATGGAGTGCTTGTCAGCTCCCGCCCAATCGGGGCACTCCCCCCTCAACCTTCGGAGTGCTGAGGGCCGGGCGCACACTATCGTCATAGTCTGCAAACTGTCCGCCTGTCGGCAGAAAAGAAGACACGCAGGTATGGATGGGAGCCTAGGTCCTCCAGTAGAGAGGTTAGAATAAGGGTACCGTTTCCTTTTTCTGTAGTCCATTTTAGGGGAACCCTCCCCCCAAAAAGAGTTGGTAAAAGGGCACTACTGGGGAACCTAGGAGCGTATACGGAAGCAACACTCAGCCTGCAGATTGGGCTACGTGCAATGTTTTGCGCGCAGAAAGACTTCCGAGCCCAGAGCCGTGCAGGTATTCCTTGCCCGGCAAGTGAGGGTAGATGGGTGGCACCACCTCGGGAAAGAAAAAGGAGCACTTGACATAAGCAAGCTCATGAGGGGCTGGGGTGACTGCACCAGTTCTTTGGCTTTTGCACTCACTCATACCTCGCAGTCTTTTGAGTTATGAGGTCCCCGCAATGGAGGGGAAGTGAAGAGTTCGAAGAACGTGGGCGTGGTTGGTGTTGAAGTAGTTGCAGGGCACCATGCTGGCAACCTGCGCAGAGGCAACTGATTCCAGCCGTCAGCTTGATCCGAGGCAGGAAAGACCGCAAAACAACTTGCTGGACAAGATTTGGATGTCAAAACAACTTCGGCCCGAGAAGCGTGCCATGGCTGGCTGCGGAGAAAAAAAGGGAATTCGCAAAGCCTTGTTTCGCGCTCGACAACACTCACAAGACCAGCAGCATGTTGCTAGAGCTGTGTCGAGAACCAACCAACAACTTTTCCCCCCAATGGCCGTCAAACGTTTTTTTTTGCGTGACCTCCTATGGGTCACGCTGGGGCCATTTGACAGCCAGTGGTTCAGGTTCAGAGCACCTCGACGTATGGGACATCGGTGAGCTCGCGCCGGGGCTTGTTGCAAGCTTGGCCTCGGATCTCGGGACTCTGACGGATGCAGGTGGTACCTTTTTGGCCCTGGGAACACAGGTTGCTTATCTTGGCTTCATTGTACTGGTCTTTCACTTTAGCATTATCTTCCTCTAGTTTTTTTTTTGTTTTCTCTCTCTCTCTCTCTCTCTCTCTCTCTCTCTCCCTCTCTCACTGTTTCTTTGTCTATCTGCATTGTTTTTCTTCTGGATCTGATGATGGTCAGGGCAACAGGTCTTTCTTCAGATTTGGTTGATACCAGCGGATTCAATCATCGTGCTGACAAAACAAAAAAAACACAACGTACATGGCCACTGTGCCAAAAAGGCAGGCATCAGGCAGCCATCTTTTGGATCGGATGGTGCTCTTTGCCCATTTTCGCATGCCCTGGAAATTGGGGAGGGGTTGGAGGGAAGACTTGAAGAACCTCGTTGCAGGCATGGTTGGCCACCTGCCAACTTGCAGCCCACTTACTTCCCCTTTTGCCTGAACAAAGCAACACATCCGATGTTGGGCTGGTGAATCATGTGCTGCTCTGCATGCTCACCACTCTGCCGTCGTTTGCCTGAGTGAACCACATGACTTCAAGGGTCATGGGCGGCGGGAAGTATCAAATGGAAGTGGACTCCAGCGGAGTCCCAAATGCCGTTGACGGTTCGATTGCGCAAACATATGTTTACAAAGGTTTATCCAAGCCTGCAAGAAACAAGAAGCCCAGGTGGTATCCCCAACAGCCCTGCTGGAACCCCCTGGAACCTCCCTGGAACCCTGGAACATTCCTGGAACTTCCCTGGAACCTTCCTGGAACCCGCCTGGAACCCCCCTGGAACCCTGTAAAACCTTCCGGAACCCCCGAAACCACCTCACAGCTTATTTGGGCAGAGAAAACCTAGCTTCCAGCTCTTGGGGGAAAACTAGTCACATCTCAAACACAAATCCCAGCACACACCTCGCCAAATCGGCACTCGCTCTGAAATTCAACTCCGAGGCGCACAATCGAACTACGAGAAGATACAGGAGAACACCGACGGCCTGGGCTCAGGCGGCTGGCGGCGGACTCAAACTGGCGGCCGAAAAGGCGGCCAGTTGCGAGCGCTCATGTATATGGCTGCTGGCTGTTCCGTACCTTCACTTACCCGGGTTTGCTGGTGCTTCTGAGTTTCGATTCAAATTGTCCGGTACCCCCTCCATCTCGCAGGAAACATATTCTAGGGAGTGCCGGCTGTGACAGTTCGCCTCGCTGGAGCCTTCCCCCCAACCGAAACGAGGTGATTCGCAAAGGCAACTTGGTCTCGGCGGTTTTTTCGAATTTACCGAGCTTCACATCTCAGCATCTTCCTGGGTCTTAGTTCAAAAACATCCAAAAAAAATCAGGAATGTCTAGCACTCATTTAGAGACGTCCCTGCCGAAAGAAACGTGCACATGGGCGGCATTGGGCAAGATTGTGAAAAGGTATCTGAGGCAGTCCCTTTTTTATCAACCCCTGTCAGCCACGGGTTCAATGCATGCATTGCTTGATTGCATGGATGGTTGGATGGATGGATGGATGCATGTAAAATCATGTGCACCAACGCGGGTAGGCTTTTCACAGGGTTGCAATTCAAAGGCGGCATGCCTCTGCATTCTTCCCATTAAGCATGGGTCTGCTTATAGCCCCCCTCCAAGACTGTGCCAAACGGTCAAGCGGGGCCTCTTTTGGTGGAATATTCGAGGTTTGGGTTCGACTGCGACTTGCAGCTATTTCTAAAATCAGTACTACCAAATCTTACTCTCAGATTCCCAGTGCTTGATTTAGTATTGCCAATTCAAATTTTTGCTTTACCCAGACTTACACGCAGATTCCCAGATCTTCTTTTAGTATTGCCAATTCAAAATTTAGCATTGCCAAGACTTTCACGCAGATACCCAGTACTTCTTTTAGTATTACCAATTCAAAATTTAGAATTGCCAAGACTGACCGTCAGATTCCCAGTAATTACTCAATAGTATTGCCAATTCTAAAGTGCGTATTGCCAAAACTTACTCTCGGATTCCAAGTCATTGCTCAATTTAGGTTTGCCAATTCTAAGTTTACTATTGCTAAGACGTACTTTCAGATTCCCACTACAGACATTAAAGCGAACTACAAAACAGTCAAATTGAACAGAATCAGGGCCTCTTGTGGGCAATTCCCTTTGTGTGACTGTTTGGCCTGACTTGTTCATATTTGTTCAAATTGTGTCTTACATCTCTGATGTTTTGGACACCCCTTCAAAACAGGAATTCCTAAGTGTTGCCCGGATTCCTTTTGGTCGTTTCTTTTTTTCGGCAACGGCACGTTCTATTAAAGCGAACAGCGAAACAGCCACAGGATTCTGAACTAGGACATGTTTTGGGCTACAATAGCGAACCTGCGATTTATAGCGGGTCCGACATTATGCCATGACATCTGCTTGTCAGTCTTAGCGCCTGTAGCAGTCAAGTGTGGCGGTGAAGGAAAGCCAGTCCTTTGGTTGTCAGATCCAGTTTGGTGAATCGAGCCCGGCAAAAGCAAAGCGCCTTGGTAGAAACGCCGCTCATGCCATCCACTTTGCCTGCTGCCCTAGACCTCATGCTTGCTTGCGCCCATCTGGCGGCGAACAAGTTGACCTTCCGCCTGGGAACGCCTGCGGTGCGGGGCCATTGACCTTGGCTGGAATTAGGACCCCAGCAAAAAAACAAAACAAAAAACCGGGTTAATGGAAAATGAAGGGAACCCCCAAAAAAGCAAAAACATAAATAGAAAAAAGGGGAGCTAATTCGATTGAAGTGACGTGTACGGCTGAGGTCGGGGCTAGGGTGGTGAATTTCATCCAGCCGCGGAGGTAGGAGTCCAACTGCTGCACTGGGATCAGCAACAGCACACACCTCAGGCGGACTTTGGTCTGTTGATTTTTTGGCTTACGCCCCCTTTTTTTGTGGTTTTAACAAGGAAAACAACCATTGTTGGGTCTGTTGTCTTTTTGGGGGAGCTGCAACCCTTCGACACATCTGGACGATAAAACGATCGTAACATGTGAGGATCGGGGACATGGATAACTCGGAGACCAATCACTGTAAAGGTCGACATGGTAAATTGCAAAATTGAGTACCCCACCTTCTTGAATTGGTTCCAAGCAACAATGCACATAAGCTCCCAGACCACATACTAGATTGAGGGGACCAACTTGTCAATGTAAAATGTAATGCTCTCTCCGTATGCATGTATTCAAAATCATATATACATATATATATATATATATATATGTATACATATGATAATAGACATCATATATCTTACGCATCTGGACCTGAGGGCTGCCCCCTCACAATCCCAGGCTTTCGGCGAAACTGGAGGACGGGGAATCCTTTCGCTCTGGGCCGGCGGCATGGGAATGAAGTAGAGATAATGTACCTTAGGTTTCGCTCCCAGGTCAGTACGCACAAAGAAGCCACGAGCTGCTTCTTGTTCATCATATGGTCATCTGAATATGTGTGTCCAGTATGGCAATGACTTCCATATCTTACAATGCAACAGTTGACAAGCGGACAAAACAAATATATGCCTTCAGCGTGCCATCCAGGCAGGGTGTCTCCTACGCTTGCCCCCCTGGCTGAGCGAAGATTGTTGCAAGACCCCTGTGGCGCCGAAACTTGCGCTGCGCCAACTGACGCGTCGCTTGAACAAGAGAGCGATGTTTGCGGGGCTCTCAGCGCCCTTTCTCAGCTAAAACTGGAAAGCATATATCAAACACTGCAATCGCTGATGCCGCGTGTGTGTGTGTGTGTGTGTGTGTGTGTGTGTGTGGGTGGGTGTGGCTGTGTGTGTGGGTGTGGGTGTGGGTGTGGGTGTGTCTGTGTGTGTGTGTGTGTGTGCGGCCGCATGTCCACAGCTAATGAGTACTTCCGCGGCAGCATGCACACTTCATCCAACAAGCCTTTGACACACTACACACGTGGGTGTTGCACACGCGGAGCGCCCCCAGATGGTCGGTCTCATCCAAAAGGGGTTACCTATTTGACACTACAATCGGGGACCTTCAAAGTTTTGAACTGTGGCTTGGGCTGGTCAATACTTCCCAACACTGTCAGAGACAAGCCTTTCCGGCTGTAGAGAAACCGTGGCTTTGCACCTTAGTGCTTTGCCGTAACCACGAAAATATATGCCTTTGCGACTTAGTGACGGCACCCCTTGCAAAGAATGCCCTTTACATGCATGATCCTTGACGCCAAGGGCAACCATTCGCGACATCTAGGGCCTTGCTCTACCTTGATGTTGATCCTTAAACACGTACATAAATTGACCAGGGAACCACGCCAAACCGTTTGAGTTTGGGAAAGGCCAAAGCTTGGACTGAAACAACCATCCGCGTCTGGATGCAGTCCTGTTGCAGTGACATCCAGCGTTTCACTGGTGTAGTAAGTCTGCCGACAAATGCGCCTGGCAACGCCCGGTTTTCTGGGCTTCTTGGCAAAGATCCGGGGGCTTCGGTAGGGGGTGCGCAAACCTCGTGGCCTCTTTTAGGAACTCTTTTGGGTGTCAATAAAGGTGTGGGCAATTTCAGCTGGTACAAACATGGCGAGTCTGCAGGAAGAAGTACTTGTCGATAAAATAGATATAGAGGCTGTAGAAGAACAGCAGAATCTCAGCACCTCAGGAAGGTTCATGTATCACACGGCAACAAGTTGTGGATCGCCCTAGGCAGTTCTGTAAGTTCTGCAGGCTCTCAACGCCTACCGTCCATCTGAAACACTGCAAGCACCTGATTGCAGATCATATCATTGACCAGCGCGCCTAGCATAGATAACAGTGCGGTGTTCGTTTAGCAACATGGACAAATTCAAGGCGTAGCTCAAGTGATGACACTTCTGGTAACGTCATAGTCAGTTGAGGTTGCTGGCCACGTTGTCAGGCATGTTTCATCTCACTGATGTCCCCCTCACTCTCCCCCCATCTCTCCGATGCCATTGCTCTGACATGCATTTGGGGCCGCGCTCAGCGTG